TGGGCTAATAATGACTCCAAAAAGGTTTACCTACATTCCATATGAAGCAGAGCATTCCTAAACATTAAATACATCTGCAGTGCCTAAAGGGTGCAAATATCTGAAATGCAATCTGACTGAGCATCATGGGACATGTAGTTCATAAAGGTTATACATCACTGCATTGTTGGGTAAAATGGCAGATAAGAAGCAGACATTGATTGCTGGTGAGTCTGAACAGATCTATATATCCTTGAGGCAACTGGTTAAGATGGTTTTTTTTTAATCAGAAAATGGTCAAATAAATGATTCAGTGTTTTCTTCACGGGTTTGTTTGTAAAAATATACAGCACCTTTTCCACACCACCTACACTTTTTTTTAGGAAGAATGTTTTTGATCATCCGTTTTACTAGAGGCTGCTAACATACATTGTTAGAACACCTTCATCAACATTCAACCAAGCAAACATGCCAAACAATAGCCTTCAAAAAAGTCAGATCAATTTATTATTTCCGTTCCGTTAAAATAATTTATTTATAAAATATTTTACCAGGAAGGATACATTGAGAGTTTTCTCGTTTTTAAGTATGTCCTGGGCTGACAAATATTGCATTGTTACAAAATAGAATGTACAATGTCTCAATTACTCATTTAATTAATTACTGAGTCCATATATAGTCCATATATACAGAGAAGAACCATATAATTTTCAGATACTGAAATGTACTGAATAAAAAAGGTCTACATTATTAAGGAAGAATATTCATATGCAGATACAAGTTCAATGTCATCTAGCGGCCGTAGCACTTTGTAGACCCATTTACAAAATAAGTGGTGGCTTGTCTTACGTCTGTACTGAATCTCAAATGTTCCTTCCGCCTCTCTCCATTTAATCTCTTCACAAGCTATTTTGTTATTACCTACTTTATTCCTAAAGCCTGCCCCCCTGTAGCTGCTTATATTAAAGTCAGAACAATGAAAAAAAAAGTGCTTTCATAAAATGAATACAGTAATAGCAGATTAATTGTAGTATTCCTTATTCATTTCTTAAAAGTCACTGCAAATGATTTCCTATTTAAAAAAAGCAAGGTATGTAGAGATCTGAAATTGAGCATATACTATCCCCTATTGTATGAATTCCTATCTGTAGGTGTGTATGTAAGGTTCTGGTCAAGAGACAACAAGTGTTAATGATAGTGCATATATCCTATTAATTGTAGGGCGATATTATGGCTTTGTCAATCGTTCTGCAGGAACGTTGGAACTTTGAAGGCTAGTAAACTGGATGCTGAGATTGGCAGATGGCATCCCATTACTATTATTAAGGATTTAAGGATCAACATCATGTGTTTGTCTATGAACTATTTTGATTATTTACAGACAGCTCATTAGGGTTCATTAAGCATCCATCAGTTTTCATTGACTATAATGTCAGATAACATAAGATCACCATAAATTATCTCATTTATCTCATACCAGAGCTTTTATACATTGTATTTCCAATGCAGATTGAAAAGGTAAATGTCAGAAAAATGTATCATATATATATAAGACCATTTGCTGCAGGCACAGTGCAAAGCTAATTAGAACGATCCCGCTCAAATAGTGAATAATGACAACAGCTAAATGTTCTTTTACGAGCCAAATGCATTTGAATCATTTTATATAACCTTCTATACGTATTCAGCCCCTGCATATTTCCACATTTAGTGTTCCGACCTGGACTCAAAATGGATTGAATTGAGATTTTATATACACAACACTTCCAGTGTGCACAATGTTGTTTATTGAGACACAAATGCAAAACCAAAAGGAACAACAACAACAAAAAAAGATATTTCTGGGTTGATTGCACTGTTGCTATGAAACATCTAAACAGGCTCTTGTGGAACCAACAAGTCACATAATTACTTCAATAGAACCCATCTGTGTGCAATTAGTGTCACATGATCACTAAACAAATATACCTATTTTTGGGTGGACATGAAGTTTATTATAGAGCATTTATAAACAAACAGCAATATGAAGGTCAAGACCAAAAATCCTTTTAATTCAAGGTTGTAACATTGGGTGACTATTTAGGGAAGGCACTACATATAACATGTATTTGTGTATCTAGATACCCATAATATTATATCTGTGGGCTTATTAGTGCCCAAGATTAGTAGTAGTTACACTCTCAAGTGGGATCTCCTGCTATTTTAAAAATTGGAACTCTCACTAATCTCTGGATTCACTATGTCATGTACGTTCCAGTACTTTCTTTACAGTAAAGTCTTCCCCTTAAAGAACCACTCCACAGCCAAAAATCTCTTCAGGAATATCCCATAATAATGGCAGTTCATTGTAAAATATACCCCCAATGAATACATATATCAAAAAGCATGCATGTATTCATTTGGGGTGTATCTACTAAACAGTGATTATTAGATTTTTTTCCCAAAATAGGCAGCAGAGTATTCCTTTAACCCCTATATTGCTTTCAAGGAACGTTATGGCGTTAGGGCCCTAGTCACCATTTAGCCTCCTTGACTGAGATGAATAAGATCAGTGATCTCAGCCAGTACAATTCTTTCCCATTAAAAACACATTGTGAGGGTAGTGCACATGTGTGGCAAAACGCAGTTCTGCTCCAATCAGATAGGTTGTCTTGCTGAGACCATCTGATAGAAATCGGTATGACAGCCACTAGAGGCAGTCTATCGGTGCAAAGAAAACATGTCAATGATTTTGGCTACTGGGTTATATATATTTGTAGTCGGGTACAAAAGCCGTATACATGATAAGTTAGATATATAAGCAAGTCGGTTGTGGTGTGCCGAAACCAACGTATCAGGTAGGCCTGTAATAAAAGAGGGCCCATCTGTTATAGTAATATGTATAAGGGGAGAGGTGGGAGTGATGAACCAGGCAGCATCAGCCCTGTGGTGTAGGGGGCCTGAGTTTAACCCCTTAAGGAAACAAGACATGTATGACATGTCATGATTCCCTTTTATTCCAGAAGTTTGGTCCTTAAGGGGTTAAATAGCCGGGTAACCCCTCCCACAACTTCAGGCTACCCCTTCCAATTTGTAGTCGGGGACAAAACCCATATACATGATAAGTTGTATATATAAGCAAGTCGGTTGTGGTGTGCCGAAACCGACGTATCGGGTAGGCCTGTAATAAAAGAGGGCAAAAAGTTGAATAAGATACTTTATTACACATCTTTATGTTGCAAGATTCGTAAAGGCTTGTCCTACTCAACTCTATCTCTGGTTGTGGTATGTATCTAGTAATATACTGTGGATTTCCAGCATCCTAATGTTTATGGTGTGAGCAGGGACATTTGTCTGGAAGCAGCTGATGCTGCCCTGATTCTGGAGGAATGTCCCGAAAAGGCAATGGGGTTGAATCCCAGCCTAGTTAAGAGGGTTCTGAGGTACATTATAAATTTAGCTGTAGTGAGTGGTTTGCCCTGCAGTTAAATAGGGGCATATTGAGATTTGGTCCAGTGAGTGATAACCTGTAAAGGTCTGGCATTTTGACCGGCACCTTATTGTCCATAGGATAGTCCTTATGACCCTACGTATTACATATGGTAAGAGGATGTGAACTGTTTGGTACTAGGATAGGCACTTAAGATATGGTTATGTAATCCAGCCAGGTAAGTTTTGTAGTGTTAAGAGAGATTTCTTAAATTGTGTGGGCAAAAAGGAGAAGAGTGTCGCAATGGCGACTAGTGAACAAATATCGGTATTATGGTAATCGGTGGTAAACTTGTTGTAAAGGTGAAATCTCTATTGTATGCTCATGATGTATAATCAGAGCGGGCAGCTAAATCCAGAAATCTGCCAAATGCCATGAGGCGAGTTAGTGCAGGATTAAGCCATGGAATGTGGGTATAGCCAGCTGCTTTATTGTCAGAGAAGCACTTGACATGTTCCCCTATCCACTCATACCTCCCCAGGCCTTGTAGGCGGCCACTATGGGATGGATTCCAAAGAAATGTTGACGAGGAATGGAAAGGTGTTTTCTTTTTTTTTTTTTTCTTCAAGAGTCTCAACTGGCCAGGCATCTCAGAACCAAAAGTCACCAAATTGACTGTGAAATCAGAGTGTGCGGACACATTGGTCCATGTAACTGGGAAATGATGAAAAATGGCAGGATCAACCTGGCCTCCTATTCCAGTGTGGTATGAACCTGAGCCATATGTGTAGGTCTGCTTACAACTAGTGCCAGAATACAACTGTCGGAGGGAAGAAGACTCAGCGGTAGGGAAATAAATATGCAGAATAATTCTCATGGCGAACTTCAATGTGCCCAGTAGGACTGTAGATCCATTCTCCCCTACCTATGCTTTCCTATGCGACCGGCTGAATGCGCGCGCAGCTCTTTCCGTGCGTGCGCATTCAGCCGACGGGGCGGAACGGAGGAGGAGAGGAGGCAGAGAGCTCCCTGCCCAGTGCTGGAAAAAGGTAAGTTTTTACCCCTTTCCCCCTTCCAAACACCAACTCTACACACAAAAGTACACCTGCATTTAAAAGCCAACACTACAGACAATCACACACCCCTGCATTCACACACAAACACTACACACAAGTACACCACTGCATTCCAGTGGTAACAGTACACACAAATACATGCACACATACACTCTATACAAAACATGCTGACATTCAATTGCACAAACACTGCTCACAAATACAACCCTGCAAGGATGGTAGATCCCCAGCTGGCAAAGCATCACAGATGGGGATCTATCTTTTCTTTACTCTTGTGCTACAGGGGAGGCCTAAAAAATTTTTTTGCACCAGGTCACTCTCTACATTACTTTCGCCGCTGGGTTGGGGTGGAGGGAGTGATTGCATGCCCAGGGGACCCAAGCAAAGGCTTGCCCAGGGTCCAATCAATATTAAAGACGGCCCTGCAGGCAGGAGTAGGTGAAGTGACAAGTCCTGAATGGGAAAAAGTCCAGAATGGACGGTATGTAAAAACGTAAACGTGTGAACAATTGTGTGTTCATGGATTTGGCCCGTACAGGCAGACTCGTGGTTCGTGGATTTGACTGGTACAGGAAACAAACGACTTGACCCGGAACCTTGCGGTGAGGTGAGAGGTCAGCTATGCGGCTGGAAAGTACCCAGACTTGGTGGACACGGAGGTTTGATCCAGGAAAAGGCACGGGAAGCCGGTAAGGGGTCTCATAGCGCCGGCTGGAATGAACGGCCAGTTCTGGAGAGGAGGTGAGTAGTCTCTGACTGCGTGTGGCCGAAACAGCGTGATGGGAGTTGTTGGAGCAGGGAGAACTTGGTCCAATCGGCTTGGGAGTCTTTGACTGCATGTGGCTGGAACAGCGTGATGGGAGTTGTTGAAGCAGGGAGAACTTGGTCCGATCATCGTGGCAGTCTCTGACCGCATGTGCCTGGAACAGCGTGATGGGAGTTGTTGGAGCAGGGAGAACTTGGTCTGATCGTCGTGGGAGTCTCTGACCGCATGTGGCTGGAACAGCATGATGGGAGTTGTTGGAGCAGGGAGAACTTGCACCAATCGGCGTGAGAGTCTCTGACCGCACGTGGCTGGAACAGCAGGATGGGAGTTGTTGGAGCAGGGAAAAACTTGGTCCGATCGGTGTGGGAGCCACAGTAGGCCCAGACCAGCTTGTTTGGAGTTTTAGGCAGTCTGTGTTGATGACCTTTGAACCGGAAGTAGAAATGAACCAGGCAGCATCAGCCCTGTGGTGTAGGGGGGGCCTGAGTTTAAATAGCCGGGTAACCCCTCCCACAACTTCAGGCTACGCCCTGAAATATACACAAATACATATATGTACACATATATATATACCAGCACTTATCTACCTGCCACAATGCATACATTTTTTTTTTTACCCATTATTAAACTTGCCCTATACATGGCATATTTGAAAGATTTAACTTTATATGTTTCTGGTAAACTTGGCAATTTCTTATCTTGTGATCTCAAATTCATCCACCTTTTGGCTGATTAGGTGAACAGAATTTCAATTTACAAACAGCCACATGCCTGAATCGCTGAACAAATGAATCGCAGCATACAAACATACACTCTTTGATTTATGATTTTGGGGGTGCCTTATTTGTTCTTTTATTGTAAGGTCAAATAAGAAGCTAGTGATGGACAAGAGGTCTGTGAATCATGTGGACTGTATCTCTTGTCCAATCAAGCCAGTAACTGTTCATCTATTCACAGATCTGATAACTGGCCGATAGATTCAAAAATGTTAAAGCAGGAAAACAAACTATACTTCCAAGCAGGATTTTTTTCAGAAACTTTGACTGGAGATACTGAAGGAGATACAATATGTTTTACTCTTCCTTCGTCTTTGAAGGAATCAGAGCCAGCCAGCGTCATTGAAGTCTAGGTTTAGCTTACTGTTGTATTTCCCTAGCAAGCTACTTCCAGTGGCCACTTGAAACAATTTTGAGTGGGAGATCAGAGATTGCTATTGTATCACTGATCCTAGTGTGAAACTAGGTTTAGGGTACTGCTGTATTTACCTACCTAATTAGCAATTAAGCTACTGTCTCTCAGTGGCACTTAAAACTATTTTGAATGGGAGATCGAAGATTGCTATTGTATTCTAGTGCGAAACTAGCAATATATATATATATATTTTTATTTATTATTGCCATTTATATAGTGTCAACAGATTCCGTAGCGCGTTACAATATTATGAGAGGGGGGATTTAACTATAAATAGCAAAATCACAAGAAAACTTCCAGGAACGATAGGTTGATGAGGACCCTGCTCAAATGAGCTTATAGTCTATAGGAGGTGGGGTATAAAACACATTAAGACAGGAAATAGCAATCAAATAGGGAATGAAGCAGAGCTGGAGGAGAGAGTAAAGCACTGCCCTATAGGAGAGAGCAAGAGACAGGTATGTAAGGTAGAGGTAACTCTGGGAGGCCATAAGCTTTCCTAAAGAGATCGGTTTTAAGGCACTTCTTAAAGGATTGAAGACTAGGGGAGAGTCTGATGGGGGTAGGCAGGTTATTCCATAGGAAATGAGCCGCCTGCAAGAAGTCCTGCAAGCGCGAGTTGGCTGTACGGGTGCGAGCAGTGGTCAGGAGGTGGTCAAGGGCAGAGTGGAGGGAACGAGGAGGGGCATACCACCTAATTTCAAATATTACCTGAAATTATCTAAACGAATACTAAAAGGTATAGGGCATTGTATTTGTTCACACTGAATGGATGTGAGCATAAGCTTTGTTCTTCACAAGGTGGAAGGGTGAGTGGGTGGTTAATTGATCACTGTTTTCATAAATTTTTGTAAAAATCCAATTATTTCAACTTAAAATGACTCGTGCTCCCTATTTTGCATTAATGCAAGATAGCAAACTATAATGATTACAATCATTATAAAACTAAGTTCATCACTTCCTTGATCATTATATACATCATGTATAATGATCTAATTTTGCCATCTAAGATTTCGCATTGCAAAAAACTAGGTATTTAGGTAATATTGTAGCCGTTTTTGCAAAAAGCACTTATTTCTTGCTTTTTTACCAATGGCATGGATTACATAGTTACATAGCTGAAAAGAGACTTGCGTCCCTCAAGTTCAGCCTTCCTCACATTTGTTTTTTGCTGTTGATCCAAAAGAAGGCAAAAAACCCCAGTTTGAAGCACAATTTTGCAACAAGCAAGGAAAAAAATTCCTTCTTGACCCCAGAATGGCAGTCAGATTTATCCTTGGATCAAGCAGTTATTACCCTACATTGAAAGATTATTTCCTAGAATATTCTGTTTTTGCAAATATGCATCTAGTAGCTGTTTGAACATCTGTATGGACTCTGATAAAACCACTTCTTCAGGCAGAGAATTCCACATCCTGATTGTTCTTACAGTAAAAAAACCTTTCCTTTGCCTTAGACTACATTTTGCCAAGCCCAATTTTTTTTTTTTTTTTCCAGAAGCGGTCAAATTATTTTGACTACACAATTTTCTGTGCTAGGTTTGCAGTCTGTAGAAAAACCTATTGCAGATTATAAGAACAGCATGCTGCAACCCCTAAATGATAAATCAAATGCCTAGCAATGGACTGATGTTTTAGTCCATCATAGCCCTGGTTTTAGTTTCTAGCTACACACAGCTTTATTTAAATCATTGACACTGTATACTAAACAATCGATTAATGGAAAATAATGAAAATGATTTTTGTCTGCAAACAGGGAATGAGCTGCATGCTTGCAGAAGCAAGCTGATGTCACTACTTCGCAGGCAGAAGATATCTATAGATCACATGCATTTTGTTTAAGCTATAAAACTATTTAAACTGCTTACATTTATCCACAAAGCTCCACGAGGCCATTTCTATGAAGAAAACAATCTCCATCTGACACTTAGATAACTTGGAAGCTATTATTAACTAAGCCACAAAGTTTTACAGCGTACAAAGTTAGACAGAAACAAACTTTATTTTTACTTTTAATGGATACCTCTACATTGAGGTGTTACAGAAGGCAGCAGGGAGGCTCCCATTCATAATCCTACAGAGATTTTGAAGGCACTTGGATGGAGAAATGAAGAAGAAGCCAGCAGGTAGTCAGAAATGAATTTCTGCACAACATAATAGAATGCAAAATCAGATCCAATGAGCTGCTTCAGCATTCAAAATTCCTTGAGTATTGAAGAAGCGTAAATGTAGTTGCATGCTAGATCACTGAGAGTTAAAGGTACACTATAGGCACCATAACCACTTTAGCAGATTGAAGTGTCTTTGGTGCCTGGAGTCCACTGGTGCCAGGTTATATGTCAATGGTTAAATTATTTACTCAGTCCTTGGTAATAGGCAGCCCTGCCATCAATGATGAAATGGTGCAGGTGCAGTTCTGATCTAAATAAAGGTTGACTAGATTAGTAATGGAATGGCTACAAAAATAGTCTGTAAAGAGGCAACTAAGCTGTCAGCAACAAGCAAACTGCTAAAATACATACTAATGGTATCAAAATACCGTAGTGTAGCAAGACATGCAGCCTTGCCTCAACCCAGTATCTGCAGGAGCACTCCACAGCGAATTTGCTTTCTGTGGTGCAGGGTTTAGTGGATGAGAGCGATCAGCTTGGCTTAGTTAAGGATAGCTAATGGAAGCTCCTTTTGCATTTTACTTTCGCCTGCAGGAAAGCGAGGAGGAAAACTGTTCTAAAATGGTTTGACTACTTACAATGAGAGAGGGCCTGGGTACTCTTGGCACATTAACCACTACAGTGTGCTATAGTTGTATAGGGCTTAGAGTCTTCCTTTAAATATACTTTAATTCTTGGGGTTTTATTGGTCAAATGCAAGCTGGAGCCATGGAGCTTCTACGTATAACCTTGAAGACAAATTTGTCTATACTTGCTGTGCGATGTCCTGTTGGAGCCATTGTAAACACACAGGAAAAGTCCTCGTAGGTCAGTGGAAGTTGAAGGCTATAGCTCAGACTGAACTCATATCATGTTCTTTAAAGGAACACTGTAGGGTCAGGAATACAAACGTGTATTCCTGACCCTATAGTCTTAAAAACAGTTTAGGTCCCTGGCACCCCCCATATCCCTCTTAAATAAATAAAAATGTACCTTTATTCAAGAGCCACGTGGGTCCGCCAGCACTGGCTCTGCCACAGATCCACCTCCTTGGCTAGAGTAGGCTATAACAGTATTATACTATGTTTTGTTTTATTTATCTGTTTTAGTGATATCAGCTGGATCCCTGTATGTTTGTATTTTGTATATTTTCTCTGAAAAGGTAGTGTTTACAGCAAAAAGCCCGTATGGACAGATTATAGACATCAGAACAACAACATTAAGCTGTAGTTGTTCTGGTGACTACAGTGTCTCGGACTGAGCATCATGGATGTTTTGTTTAACAACAACTATAGAGGTATTTAAAATTTACCAGTGATGCAAACAGGGGAGTTTCTAGTTTCCAGAAACAAATCAATAAACCTCACACTAACAGAGAAGTGAGATGTCATGACAAGTTCTTGCATTTCTATGGTATGCCCTTTCCTCTACCCGTGAACAAAGTGCTGCTGATGCTTTCCGGGGTGAAAGCATAGCTGGAACATGCTGCACAACCAGGTATTTATGTGACCTGGCCATGCTACCTAACTAATAGAGGAGTGTCCAGCAAAGTTTTATCCCCATTCCCTCTTCCTGACATTCACCTTGAGGGGCACCACCCCCTATCCATAAGTAGCCTTGCGGAGTACTATACTACAAAACTTTTGTTTTTATATGTGCTTCCTATCCTAATATTTGAATATCCTCCTGCCCCTGTAGAGAATTGGGGTTCAAAGAGTTCCACATCTGGGCATTAGCCCCCAAAGCACCCTACCCTTCAGCAATGGCTATAAATGCAGTTCATGTGAATTCAATATGTTAAACGTATGCAAGGTTTTCCAGATCCATAAGCCACGATTTGAAGCATATTACACAGATTATGTAACAAAGAGTCTATTACTTGATGTGCTTAAAGTGTTAAGTGGTCATGATGCTTTTTTGAAGTGGTCATGGTGACAGTAGCATGGACATAACATTTAGAGTTATTTT